ACACCAGCTCTCTTGATCTGCTGATCTGTTCCTGTTGGGCTGCACTGCTTGCTATTGTAAACGTAGCCTCAGCTGACCTGAATGGTGAAAGGAAGATGCAAAAATATCATACACAAGAGGTAATTCCATCTGGTGAAACAGAGATGGGAAGATGACAGAGTTGTGCTTATTAATTTCAAATAATTGTTTAAAAAAGTGTCTTGAAAGAAGCCACACAGTTGTAAATGGTTCACTGACAGTGGTGCGCTGGTCCTCGAGATAAGATAAAACCTCTTTGCTGTTTGGTGATGTTGTTTGATGAGCGTGGACAGACAGGCTACATGGTGCAGTTTGCTTCCTCTAACTCTCTGCCGAGGGAGAAGATGGTGCTTTCTTGTCAGCTGCTGTCTCTGACCTTGGGAAGGGAAGCACGGAAGGCGACGAAGGAGAGAAGTCTGGCTTTTCTGTATTGCTGTTAAAGGAAGGCTGAGAGTTAAACCGTGGCTGGCGGTGCTCATACCCTTCCCTCCTCTTCCTCCTGGGAGAGTTCAGCACCAACATGATCCTGGCCGTGTCCCCATGCTCCAGCCCGTAACGATTAGTCTGGTTTGTAACACTTGTTGATAGCTCATTACTGGATAAAACAGTCATTGTCCAGCAGTGTGTATTGATTTTTGGCTAGCGTACGTGACACGCTGCTACTATGTGTTATTCCTCCCTAAAGAGTTGTTCTGAAGATTAACTTTAAAACACAGGGTGAAATGTGATAGATTTGGGATGTTTTCAGATTAGGAGATTCTTATTTTGTTTTCTCAGATCTGCTTTCTTGGTTCGTTGAGTTTTGGCCCAAAGTGGAGAAAATGATCAGGTTTTTTTAGATAGCTCTTTTATTCTGGGTCAGCGACGTTTTGAAAACTAGGGCAAGAAAAAACCAAGGTCACTTAGAGTCTTACAAAAAGGCCTAACAAAGAATCCATTCATCCTCATAAAAATAAAAATCCGTATTAATTAACCACGTGGTAGAGATAAGAATTTGAGAGCTTGATTAAATCATTAGCGCCTCTGAGCAGTAGAGTCAGGGAGGGAGCTGGGAGGGAGAACATGCTTGGCCTGAAAATTGCATTTCGACGACCTGCCACGATGCCAGAAGCACATCTGTGCTGAGCTGTGTGTCGTGTGGCCTGGATGGAAGCAGAGTGACTGCTGCACTACAGTCTGAGGAGATATTGGCAGGCATGGAGTTTTGTTAGTGATTTACAATCAGATTTTTTTTAATTCTTATTTATTTGGGTAGGAAAGAAAAACACATTGCAGCTGAGACAGTGGCGGCTTGGAAGGCAGCCCGGTGGGTTGCACTAGGCAGCGGCTGGAGCTTGAGGAGGGTGTAAGGTGTGTTTAGGTGTGTGCAGTGAAATAACCACCTTCTACTTTCTCCAGGTGAGACATTTGCTTGAGAGCTGCCCGTGTGAATCAACACTTGCAGTGTCTGGCCCACATTGCATAATGCTTCTGCACATTAACATGGAGAGATTCAGCCAAAATAAGACCAAATGTCCTCATCCTAATCATCTTTCTGTAACCGACCCCAAAAGCAAGTTCTTCAAATCAGTAGCAGTCGTGTGTGTTTGGCGAGAGCTACAGCTGGAAGAGTTGCTGGCGTCAGGCAGAGTAGTTAATATTTGCTTTCTGTCCCTCGTCAAGTGCCAGCAATACCAGCCTTGCCTGCCTGATAAAACTGAGCGCGGCTACTTAATAATCACTCGTTAGGCAATTGGAATGGCTCCCGCACGGATATTCAACCCAAGGGTGTGGTTGGGTGCTGTGCAAACATGAAGCCAATATCTCCATGCTATTTATGTCCTCCTCGGGAGCGTTGCGACGACGTTGATTGGTCCGTGTGGCATGTTTGCACTTATTTTCTGTTTTCCAAACAAAACAGAGTTTTGAGATTGCATTTTTGTCCATGTCTTTAAGGCTGCCCTTATCTTACTGTTCATCGTGATCTCCGTGATATTTAAAAAGAAGCATAAAACAATCCAGCAAGTGGGGGCAGTGGAGTGTTTCGTGCTCCGACAGGATCACAGTACTGCAGATTAGAGGCAGACTGTTGAAAGACATTATTAGCTACAGGATGCAAAACAGCCCTCGATGCACGTAATACATGACTGTTTTTGTCGCTGCTCACCCTCCCGGTGAAGCAGAAGGAGGTCTGTGGGTCGAGTGATGGGGTTCGGAGCGGGAGGCTGCACTATCCTTAAGCGGCTCGCTCTGCTCCACGAGCTGCTGAAGCTCTGCGTGGCAAACCCGTTGGGCTGCTGTGGATGATGAAAAGCCACCCAGCACTGGGGTTTGTGTTTGCCAGATTCCCAGAACATAATAAAGAGTGGGACATTTTCCTCTGAGTGAGATTTTCATTTTCATAAGCAGAGCAGTCAGGATTTTTCTTTTTCCCCCCAAGGGCTTGATATTTTTGGTATCTTTCATCCTGCCCAGCCTACAAAAACATACATATGTATTGCTGAGTAGTCTTGTGCTTGCCTTACGGTGTCAAACTTGCCTTCACATTACTCCCTTGTGCACGAGTGTGCTTTCAGAGGCAGAAGAGATCACCCACTCCCACCTCGTCTCCCAGATTTGTTCCTTTGTGCAAGCCGATGGCCTGGTCCGAGTCCCGCTGCCTGTCCCGTGCGGCAGGAGGGTTCACCCCAGCTGGGGAGTGAGCGGTGGGTGCCCCTGCAGCAGCCGCCTTGCCCACCATCTCCCTCCAGCCCTGGGCCACACGTGCTGCCCGACCACCCGCCGCCCCACCATCCTCTCCCGTCCTCCTTGTTGTGTGGCTTCACCTACAGGTTTGCATTTATCACCTAATTCGAGCCTTCCTCCTGGTCTCATCACCCAACTGCATTCACGGACTTTATTCGATTTCAACAGTGGGTCTTGTACCGATGATGGCCCTGAGTCTTTCAAGGAACAGTTAGGAATGGATGAAGTTATTCTGGATGTATTGCTCTGTAGGATGATGTGTTCATGGTGCTGTTTGCATTTGCTGAGCTTTTGAGAAAACCTTCATTGGTTGCTCTTTGCTGCATCCAGTGGAAGTATGCTTGATAGTTGTAGAGGTCCTTGCAGTATCATCTCTGCAAGCAAGAAAATATCAGCTCTAAAATAGGGATTGAGAAAGACTAATATTAAATTGTATCTTAATATCTGGAAGAACGGACCTTAGATTTGAGATGGATGCTATGTATCTTTTTGAGTAAGAGAAGTAAAACCAGGTCATTTTTTCCATTAACCATTTTTTCTTTTTTTTTCCCCCAGCGCAGCGAGAGTTTACACAGAAGAAAACCTTCACTAGCTGGATAAATTCAATACTGGCAAAGGTAAGAAGGGGTTTCTTTAGGAAAGGTATGCTTTTTGCCTTTTTGATTTGAACATCCTGTATGGAGATTAATACAAGATTTTAGGTGCTGACTGGAAAAAGCAGCCCCTGGAAAGCAGTTGTTTAATAGGTGTAACAGCATTGTATTGATGATCATCCAAGGACATTTGTAAGAGATGGCCTGTAAGTAGGTGTCAGTATCTTTCTTGCGGATGTGGTAAAACATACTTATGCTGGGTTGTGGCACATGTCTCAGGGTTTTATGAGGTTCTGTATTGATGATTAGTTTTACTGTGTTTAGGTAAGTATTATTCTATTATGCAATTCAAGAACATGAGTTTAATGGGATGACCTGAGTGACTGGTAAGTATTAAGACAAACCACATAGTAGTGTAGGTGTTCTTTAAGCTTTCACAAAGCAGCTCATGCAGCATGTGCTGGGGCTCTGACTTGCTCAGGTAAAAAAAAAAAAAAAAATAATCCTGTTTTGGTCCCTCCTCGAGCAGAAGCTGCTGAGCTTGTGGTAGGTTTGCATTGTCTACAAGTGGGTGAAAAGAGTGAGGGTTTAGTTATTCAGCTCTAGAGTCAAATTTGTACTTGGAGTACCTTGATTAAGAAGTCAAAAATATGAATTAACTGCTTCTTTTAACTTTCCCTTTTTCAAAGTTTTGGAGCCTTCTGCCATATACCTCCTTGAAAAGTATAAATACTTGAAAATGAGGCCTAAAACAAACCTTGCAAAACTCAGAGGCAGATCAAGGGGGAATAAGAGACAAACATAGTAACAGGTTAGAAGCAGCAGGATATGACTGATTAGATGCAGGATTTATAGTTCAGCTTATTGAAAAAATGGAGGATGCTAAATATTTTGTGACAACGGAGTAATCTGTGATGTTCTATAGGCTGTTGAATTCAAACTGCCAGAAGATGGTGTGACAAGCATTGAAATTTATTTTGCAGCATACGCCTCCTTCTGTTATCTCAGACTTGTATACAGACATACAGCAAGGACATTTGCTTTTGGATTTGTTGGAAGTGCTTTCAGATCAACATCTGGTAAGACAGAGTAATAAAAATAATAGCTCAGTCCTTTGTCATATCCAGCAAAGATTCTGGATTTGCTTAATTGTGAATGTATAAATGATCCCTCTGGAGTCGTAGAGCTATTTGCAAGTAGCTTATCCTTACACCACTGACACTGAAACACACTGAAATAAGTTGATCCGAAGTGATTTGTGAATCTTTGCAGAACTTCCCTTTCCAAAGTGTAAACCAAAATTAATTTCTACAACTGAGGCCGTAACCTATTCTTTTTGCTTCACAGCCACGGGAAAAAGGATTTAATACCTTCCAGTGCAGAAGCAACATAGAAAATGCTTTGACATTTTTAAAGAGCAGATCAGTGAGTATTAACTTCAAAATTCACAACTAAAGCCAGTTTAGCTGGTGGAACATTTTCTTTGTTAACAATGATCCTTTTTTTTCCTCTCCTAGCTCAAGCTCATAAATATTCATGTTGCTGACATTATTGAAGGAAAACCTTCCATTGTGCTTGGCCTAATTTGGACAATTATATTTCATTTTCATGTAAGTATTTCAGCGATGTAAGAGAGTTTTCGTAGAGGGGAAAAAGCACAAAAATGCATTGACTTACGTGGTTGCCAAACAAGATGAACTAGTACAAAGCAAAAGATTATTTTCTGACATCTTGAAGTGACAGCTCAGGGAGGAGACGCACCGGTGCATCTTGCCTGTGTCTCTGAGCTGCTTCACCAGTGCAATGATGGCATTACAGCCTGATCAACAGTATTGAGCTGCAAATGGTAGGACGGAAAGATACTGAGATTTTTTTTTAAGTAACCAGTTGAAAAATAGGCTGAAGTTTGCCTATCTGTCTAAGGCCTGTAATGATTAAGCTCCAAATAAAGCAAATAGTGCAAAGTGGCTCACATCCATCTCCTTCAGAGGCAGCTCCCCTCTTCAGTGCTGGCTGTGCTCATTGTGTAATTCTTGCTATTATTTTCTTCGGTAGCAGGTGCCTGAAATAACCTGAAGGCTGTTGTAGTGGTGTTTCTTATACAAGATACTGAGAGTCTCTCTTGCATGGCATGAGTTATGGGGAAGAGGGGTGTTTGAAAGCACAGGGCCTTGCTTTAATCATGTTGTAGGACTGTAAAGGATGATGGAGCCAAACTGTCTTCTAATAAGAGCCCAGCAGTGAATTGACATAGGTGCACTGAGGGTGAACTGGTGACTGAGGCTCAGGAGAGAGCCAAGAAGCAAAGTTATTTAACAGTGTTAGATGTACCCCACGTTTTTCTTGGTAAAGGTACTTTGGTGCCGAAGGTTCTGTGCTGCACGTAGCCGTATACATTATCTTTTTACCTAAACCAAGCTTCTCTAACCAGATGTAGATCTCTGAGGTCTGTTGAGTAGGTTTTCCCACACCCTGACTGAGCAGACAAACTCTGAGCATGCCAAACACGTGACACTGTTGACAGCAGAAAACACAGCGGCCGCCAGCTGCTTTCACTGGTAGGAGGAGGAGGAAAGTGCACTGAGTGAGAAAGTCCCTCCTCAGTGATATAACATGGAAGTCTTTAGGTGAATATCTATTGCCAAAAAATCACCTGAAGATGGGAATTCAGTGTGAAATAGTTCAGGTTGAACAGATAAAAAAACCTGATCTGGGGGTAGGGAACTACTATTACAGCTGTGATTGAATCCTTTCTAATTCTTTGTGGCTTTCTGCCGTTGATATCTTGGTAATTTTTCACTGAAGCCTGATTAACTCTCCCATCATCTCTCGTAGATTGAAGAACTTGCCAGGACACTTGCTTGTACTTACAATCAGCCTTCACTTGACTGTTCAAGTGCTGTTGACTCCTCTCCAAAGGCAAGCCGATCAGCCAAAAAAAGTGCTAAGATTAAGGAACGGTGGAAGCTGTCTGCTACAAAGGCTCTTTTGTTGTGGGCAAAAGAACAATGTTCACTGTAAGTCCAAGACTTATAAATAATATGTATGTTATACATTGTATTCGCTGCTTTCCTCGAAATGCGTTGATATTCTCCCCTGTTTTTTAGCATTACTTAGGGACAGCTTAGCAGAAAATCCTTTAGATTTCCGGTGTTGTTACCAGTACGTTTAGCATCAATCAGGCCCTAAATGTTTTGACATGAGCCTTTAAATATAACATGAAGCTAATCCTACTAATAAAATACCACAATGTAAATTGAGTTGCTTGGCTTTTCTCTTTTAGGGACTTCTGTGTAGTAAGTCCAGTGGAATGTTTACATGATTTGCTAATTTTAATCCCCATGGTTGGTACTGGTTAACAAAGTTTCAATGATTGTTTTTTTTTTAAATGGAAAATGTAGGGTTTTTAGGATTCCCACACATCTCATGTTTTTCTGTCAAAACACTGGGTGATCCCCAAGAAGGACCCTGGTCCTAGAGGTCCTTGTCCACAGTTCTATCAAGATGTTTCCTTATGCTTGATGTACAGACAGCTCAGTTGATTTTGGTGGGAGTATTCACAGTGCACAATCTAGAGCACATACAGGTATTTCTTGCAAGGGTCAGGCTTTACATTTTCTTCAAGGGCTGCTGCTTCACGCCAAGATGTTTCAAATATGTTTTACTATAAAGTCAGCCCTTTCTCTCCAGCTCTTTGGTTGCTTTATGTTCTAATACCATCCTACTAATATTCCATGTTGTTAGTGGACAATAAAGGCCTTCATCAGCACATCAGACACTTTCTGCTGGGAGAATGTTTTCAGGCACTGAAGTTTCCCTTTTAACTGTGTTTTATCAGACAAGATTGATTGGCATGTAAAAAACAGCTCTCTGCCTGTTTAATCTTCCTCTTTCTTTTGCATGTTTTTCTTTTCCAGCAATATTGCTGTCCGTTTTGTAGCATCCTTTCTGAACTGTGGTTATGTTGAATGATTTTGTTATCAGTGAATCCTATAGTCTTTGGTAAAACAGCAAATCTTCTAAGTCCTCGCCCATTGTTTTGTAACTAAAATTGATCACTTGAAACCCCACATCTTTTCATTGATGTAACATACTCATAATATACGTGCTGTTTCTGGAAAGTTGTCCCAGAATTCACTGTGGTTTGCAGAGCTGGGCTGCTCACAGCGCTGTCCAGGCACTGCTTAACAGAAGATGTTTTAAAGACACTAAGCTAAATAAGAGAAAAAGAAATAGTTTTCCTGCAGTAATAGATCACTTCTAATGTCTGGATTTTCTAAAATACCAGAGGTGATTCCAATACTCGATACCCTTTTTGGTGGGTTGACCCTGGCTGGATGCCAGGTGCCCACCCAAGCCACTCTATCTCTCTGCTCCTCAGCTGGACAAGGGAGAGAAAACCTAATGAAAAGCCCGTGGGTGGAGATAAGGACAGGGAGAGATCACTCAGTAATCACTGTCACGGGCAAAACAGACTCTGCTTGGGGAAAAAGATTGATTTATTACAGATCGAATCAGAGTAGGATAATGAGAAATAAAAACAAATCTTAAAAGCACCTTCACCTCACCCCTCCCTTCTTCCCGGGCTTAGCTTCACTCCCGATTTTCTCTACCTCCTCTCCTGCAGCAGCGCAGGAAAACGGGGAATGAGGGTTGTGGTCAGTTCATCACACCTTGTCTCTGCCACTCCTTCCTCCTCAGGGGGAGGTCTCCTCACACTCTTCCCCTGCTCCAACATGGGGTCCCTCCCACAGGAGACAGTCCTCCACAAACTTCTCCAACGTGAGCCCTTCCCACAGGCTGCAGTTCTTCATGAACTGCTTCAGTGTGGGTCCCCTTCATGGAGTGCAGTCCTTCAGGAACAGACTGTTCCAGCGTGGATTCCCTACAGGATCACAAGTCCTGCCAGCAATCCTGCTCTAGTGTGGGCTTCTCTCTCCACGGGTCCACAGCTCTTGCCAGGATCCTGCTCCAGCCTTACCAAACCTTGCCACACAAACTCAGTACATACACCCTTAAACAAATACCTACATGTTCTTCAGTGCTTTGCTTGTTGTTTTTCCATCCTGTAGAATGCATAGATATTGAGCACAAAGGTGTTGTTCAGAAAGGGTATTAGATCAGCAAGGCTTTATCTTCAGAATGCAGTATAAGATAAAAACATTGAGTAATTTTGCAAAAATAATATAAAAATATATAACTGTAGTGATTGGTAGTACTGGCTGTATTGTTGTCTGATCTAGCTTCTGTAGAAGTTCAGTGGCAAGGTTCTCTATAACTGCCTGGATTTGATTCATGCTCCATTTTACTGAATTTATATTCTATTTCTATTTCCCGTGTACTTAGGACATCTGAGGAAACAGGCTATAACATTTTGTTTCTAATTGTTTTTGGGATAGGCACGGCTCTGTCAATGTGACTGATTTCAAGTCAAGTTGGCGAAGCGGACTACCATTTTTAGCCATCATCCAAACCCTACGACCAGGTCTAGTGGATTTGGAGAAGGCAAAAGCTAGAAGCAATAAAGAAAACCTGAAAGAGGCTTTCAGAATTGCAGAAGTGGAGCTGAATATTCCACGGCTTCTTGAACCTGAAGGTAAATGATCTGCTTTTTTAAATCTTTGTTATCAGGAGTGAGATTAATATAATCCTGTATGTGTTGACTTGTAATACAGGAAAAAGTAAGACTGCGTTGAAGTTTGAAATGGAACATCGATCTTTACTGTAATGCTCAAACGTGAAGTTCTTCATTTTATAACACCAACTGTACTTGGGATTTGTAGGATTTTTGAATTGGCAGCAGATGCAGGAACAATATGAAGAAGAAAGGATATGAAGCTTTGCTGTTCATGGGAGAAACTTTTTCGTTAGTTAATCATGTTATATTAAATTATTCCCAAGGAAAAAAAATGTTCATTACATATTAATTTTCGTCAATGGTATGTTAACTGAGCTGCCGCAAAATAAACATATTTATGGTAATGTGTTTTAATAAGTGCAGTATAGTGTGTAATTATGTGATCAGGCCTAGCAGGCTGCATAATTATGTAAATGGTGCGTTGGCTCTTGCAGATGTTGATGTTGTGAATCCAGACGAAAAATCGATCATGACTTATGTGGCTCAGTTTTTGCAGTACTCCAGGAATTTGCATGAGTCCGAGGAAGACATGCAGGTATGTCATGTGGTTTATCACTGAGGCATTTTTAAATGAATGTGCATCATGGTTGCCAAGAACATCGGTACTTTCTTTGCCCAGTTTATAACTTGACTCAGTAACAGATAGTAAGTCCTCTGATTCGGCTACTGACAGGGCTGAATTGGCTTTCTGGTGTTCCTGTCTGGTAGTCAAGACTCAATGGGATAGATTTTTGATAATACAAGTGGAATTGCTGTGCAAGTTGTCTTGTTTTTTCACTTAACTATTACAGAGGACATTTTCAAGCCTGGTTGTCTTCAAGTGTGCTCTGAAGTCTGTATGTAAATATTGGGGTAGAGGCGGATTTGCAAATGTGCAGAACAACCAGCTTTAAATCTATTAGCTCACATGTAAAGTGGACAGAAGTTGTTACTCACAGATCACGCTGGCTGGAAACCCCAAGTTTTCTATTCTCTATATTCTCCTATGAGAGTTTATGTATTAATTGGTTATTCACGTATCCCCATACTGATACTCTCCTTTCAGCAGGACTGCAAGCAGGCTCTTCTTTAAAGATGCTTTCATATATCCAGGTGCCAGGTTTAAAACTTTGGCCTTGCTGCGTAATAGTGCCTGACTCAAAATTCATTAGATTCTCCAGGAATTATTATTTATTTTTCAATAGCTTTGAATGGCATTTATTGTATGCTTAATCTGTGTTGTTTTCTGTCACAATGTGAATTAAAAACAAGGTTTGCAAAATGGAAAAAAAAAGTGGATTTTTCTGCTCTAATTTTCCAGGAAAAAGTAAGAGAGGCCATGAGCTGGTTGGCTACACAGGAGAAGAAGTTAGCAAAGTTGCTGATAGACACAGAGAATGAAACATATTACCAGAAGTACAAAGTAAGTTGCATTTCATGTTTAACTGCTTCTGTGAAAAGAAGCTTTGTTTCTGGGAATATGTTTAGCATTTTTCATCTTTGTTGCCTAAACTGAAGTGTTAAATAAACTTTTTAACTAGAGTTGGAAATCTGACAATAGATTTGGTAAATGCCCTCATATGATTGAGGGAAGGGTAGGATAAAACTCCTTCTGTTAGGAGAAAGATAAATGCTGCTTGGTTTCTGAGCAGAGCAAGTATTTTTTTGAGAGACTAAAGTAGCATCTTTTAGTCAATTGACATAGTTGAAGACTTGGACAAGATTCAAACACATGTGCCCTTTACAAGGTTACCTTTGCCATTTCTGTGATAACAACAGTAGATTTTAGCCAACTAATATTGCAGAGAAGTAATTGAAATGTTGGCTATAGATTGTGCTGAAGTAAAATTTTGTTGTGGGTTAGGCCGCTCCGGCAACCAAACCGCCCCCCCCGCCAGTCGTTGACTCACCCTCCCCCAGTCCCAGGGATGAGGGAGAGAATTAAAGGAGAAACGAGAAACCCGTGGGTTGAGATAAGAACAATTTAATACAGATGATTTAATACACAGTGTAGATGCTCACCACCCCCTCATATGCAAAGCCCGTCTCGTCCCGAAGCTGCAATCCCGGACGAACGCGAGGCCCCGAAATAGAGAGGGGCAGAGAGAGAGAGAGTACTCCGAGAGTGGGAGTACTGGGAGAGAGAGGGAAAAAAAAGGGCAATAGGGCAAAAGCGCAGCAAGCGCAAAAGAGCAGAAGCGGCGAAAGAGCCGAAGCGCAAAAGCCCTTCTGTCCGGCTGCCCCTCACTTTTATACTGGGCATGACGCTGCACGATATGGAATACTAGTTAGCCAGTTTGGCCCTCAGTCTTAAGTTCCACCACAAATCACAAGGGGAATCGTGTCCCTCTTGTCCCAGCTATGCTCCCCCCTTATCCCGCTGTGCTGCTGCACTCCGGCACACTGAAAAGTCCTTGGAGTCTCATGTCCAACCACAAACATCAGCTTGCTATCAGCATTCCTCTCAGAGCGAGCCTCTGAGTAAAACCAAAACACGGAGCTCTTCTAGCTGCTAAAAAGAAGAGCTAACTCTGTCCCAGCTAAAACCAGGACAAATTTCCTTCGGTTTATATTGTGGCTAGACTTCGTAATAAAGTGGCCCATGGGGGACTGTGGGAGGGGAGAACCATGTCCTCACCGCACTGACATTATATTAAATACAGATTTTCCTAGTGAATGGCACCTATAATTTCAGACCCAAATACTGCCTGGAGATAAGTAGGCCTCTTGCTTGCTACCTTGCCTTTCTGTGCATCACACCCTTTGAAGTTAATGGAAGTCATACCAATGTGTTCAAAGGCAGTGCTTGGCTCCACGAGCTTCCATCTGAAGTCTTCTTCTATGAGTTACTCTTCCTTTTTATCCCTAGGAAATGATGTCATTTATGGAAGCATTTAACCAAGAAAAAAAACCCTTTCTACCTGTGTTGTCATCAAAAAGGAGTGAAGCTGAGCTGAGCGAAGGCCAGCAGCAGATGAGAGAAGAGTGGGATAAACTGATCTCTCAGGTCAGAGACATTTCTAGCTCACCTCGTTATCAGTGTAAGCGTGTTTGATGAAGAAGCCTTAGTCTACCCTAGGAACTCGCACGTGGAAAAGTGGGGAGGTGATACTTTGTTTGGACTGATAAAATAGATGTTGACTCTGAACTTGAAGTCCAGACAAAATGAGTGATGTACAGTGTCCAAGAGGAGACAGAAGGTGACTCTGTGTTACCCTTCTGCCTCCTGAGCCTCAGGACTGTGAGACGTCTGTGAAAAACAGTCTGCATCTGATTATCTTTGAGCAGTCTTCTGATCAAAGTTTTTGGCCTATTTATGCTTAAAAGGTTCTTTTGGGACATAATTGTGTCTCAGATAATGATGCAGCTGGGAAAAGTGTGTTAATATAGTCTTTTCCATGGCATGGATAGCGACGTAGTGGGATCCAGTTGGTCACTGCCTTGCAGTGAGGTTGGCTGTGTTTGTCTTCTGCTGCAAGTGGGGATGTCTTGGGCCTCGCTGGTAGTTTCTCTTTATGGAAGAGATGTTCTCCTGTCAGCCTCACGATGGAAAGCCATCCAGAGCATCCCTGTTTCCCCTCTGGTTTGCAACTAGTTTACTATAAATTTCCCTGTTGCTGGGCCTTGTGATGGTCACCAGCCAAGGATAGTAACTGCTGAATTCTCTGTAGTGTTACAGAGATTACAGGCTGGGGAGCAAACCTGAGTCTCAGGTAAACATAGCTGATCAGTAGCTTACCTCACTGGAAGCTCCTTTTCTGAATGGTGACAGGTGTTTTTTTTCTGGGACGTCCAGAGCATAAGCTTACAGAGCATATGTCAGTATCTTGGGGATGGGGAAGAAAACAATAATGAGAAATTTAATCACTTGTTTTCCTTTTTAAGATTAATGAATGGAAAGTGAAGCTGGACCAGATGTTGCCCTCCCCTCTGGATAGCATTGAGGCCTGGCTTCAGGAGGTAGAACATCTGCAGGCAGAAGATTTGCCTGATTTGCAGGACCCGTTTAAAGCAATGTTTGTCTTCAAAGAAATAATTATAACATTTAAGGTATGCTGATCACAAAGGAACATTCTGCTTCAGTCTGACCTTGCAAAGCACTTGTTATGGAATTGCTATTTGACATTTTGGGAAGTGATATGGGTATGTTTATCTTATGAAGATGAAAAGCTCTTCTGAACATACCTTTGAACAATGATGAGTTTAATTAAATAACTGCATGGGTCTATAAGGAAGGTCTCTTACTTCGCTGGGGTGAGATTAAATTTGAGTACTATCTGAATAAGTTATGGTGTTCTTTTTTATGTGGTTCCTGCAACTTGTTTGTTTGTTAGGTAATAATACAGGGTAATTACATCCTTATCTTTAAATCTATGCTTAATGCATACCTATTCAGAAAAGCACTTGGGCTCAGAGTTACATTCCAGTGAGTTCATGCAGTTTGTGTGTTTAAAGTTAAGTATTTGCTGAATCACTCTGTAATTCCATTTGAAGTAACGAGAGGTGTTTTGATACCTCAGTACCATGCAAGTTATTTGTTCTGATCTTGAAATCTCTAGGCTGATAATAGTTCAAACATCCATTTGAGTTCGAAAACTTAAAAAAGAGTAGATGTGTTGGTGCCTGGTCAATCATCATAATGCTCTACTTGGGTTTTTTTTATGAAAAAGGGGGAAGTTGGATGTTTTTGTGGCATGTCCTTAGAGAGAATTTGAAAGAATGGGAAATAGAGATTCTTGTGAGTGGCTTGATAACACCACTTTTTCATACTGTTGCTAGTCAGTTCCTGATATGAAAGATGGCTTTTTACCTGATTAAAAGCTTTGCCAGAATGTAGCCATTTGATCTGCAATTTTTCTTGTTCAGCCTAAGTAGGTAAAGCATTTCTAAGAATAAGACAGAGAGATGTCATTGGTTTAGGAGTTTCTTTTTTCCCATTGAACATGTAGATAAAATCGTTAAGTTTCTCAAGAAGAAGAAACCCAAGATACTTAATTTCTGTCAAATCCGCTTTTTCTGATGGGATGACTTTCTGCTGAACATTTTTTTTCCCTTCTTTCCTCTAATCAGTCCTTTTAGTGCGTCTCACATAGGGATCTTCTTGCCAAGGTGGCGCCTTGTAATGGAAATTTTACTTTATCTCAAGATCTAGGAAATTACCCAGTAATGCTCATAACTGTCTGACTGGAACAGTGTTAAGGTTGCCAAGTCAAGTGTTTAAGGTGTGTGCACTATTTTGGGGCTTGAGGGCTAGCCCAGGATTTAGCCAATTCCATTAATATGCTTTGTGACAGGTTTTATTACATAGAAATGAACTTCTGGTGTATTTCTTTATATGCCATTTATTAATATGGTTATCTTCTGTAGAATGCATTTTATGGTTTATTTTTGTATTAAGAATTTGGTGCTGAGACACATGCCTATAAAATATTCCCCAATTATGTGATACCAACTCTCAGAGGGTTAATGCAATATGTATCTAATGGTATTAGAAGGAAATTTATTGAGCATGCAAATAAAGTATTAAGCAAATGTGGCATAATAGGTTTACTCAATAGATTTTGCTGTTGGTATTTGCTAACACATAACAAAGATGAGCTTAATATCCTGAAACTGTTAATGTGCCACTTTTTAGTCCTAAAGATGATAGTGAAAGTGAGGGAAAAACTGATTGCACGGGTAGTGTAGATTCATGTTCCTTATGTTTAAATAGATGCACAGTAGTAAGAGAAATCATGTAGTACTGCACTAAATATGCACTTTACAAGGTGATGAGATAAATAATTTCATTGCACTTTAATGAATAAAGAAACTGGAAGATTGTCTTGTGCTGACTAGTTCTTAATAGCTTTCATTCTAATGGCAGGTGACTTGCAGATTCCCAGGTGAAATACTCTAAAATTAAAATGAATGGCTTACTATGTCTTTTTCTCCCCAGGGCTTGATGGATTGTTTTGATTCTCACTTGGAAACCCTCCAATCATTTAAGAATGAAGATGAGAAGAATACGCCACTAGTCTTGCCTGAAAAGTTAGAGGAAATGAAAAGAAGGTTGTGATCCTCAAATTCCTTCTACTTTGACTATGTTATGCTCTAGCTTTGCTCTTGGCTTGCTCTGCTGTTCTGAACAAAGCACATAATTTAACCATGCCTTACAGAGAAAGAACATTTTCCGCCTAAGCACAGATCAACTGTCATGCAGAGCAGGCAGGTTCACTCATTGGTCCGATGAATGTCTAATTACATGTAGAAAGTGGAGCTCATTAACAGAGATCCCTTTGCTACTGTGGATAGGAAACACCCACTAGGGGTAGGAAACATGAATAGTTTGAATGTAAAAATTTCTCTGGGGGTTTGGATTCTCTAATTTTTAATTTCCATCTTTTAAAATCACTGAGATCTACAGGTGATGCGACCCCATTTATCTGTTGGACGGTATTTTTAAAAATGACCAGGGAATTGTGTCTGTAACCTGAGATGCCACAGATGGCAGATGCCAGTTTTCTGGGCATTTAAGGTTGTTCATAAATTGAACAGTCAATATTGACTTGAAATTGTTGCTACTTAAAAAAATGGACTGTTGTTATCTTAAAATTTTACTCTTGTCATAACAAAATAACACTTACATATATGTAATTCTGAGTTTTTAGGCTAAAAACATTATACATTAATGCCTTCAGTAGACAGTGATTTTGAGTCAACTTTTGGAACATTTCACTGTTTGCAGATTCAGCAATATTCGTTTCACAAACTCCAACACCTTTCTTGAATATCACTATGGACTGTGCTCAGCTATTGCCAATGAGGTGATGTTAAAGCTAAATATCTGGGACATGAAATACGGGACAAAAGAGTCTGTGGAATCACTACTGCAAAACTGGAACGTAAGTTTAAAATATGTGTGTCACACCCTGACAATAATTCTTCTTCCCACTTCTCTTTGATTCAAGCTTCTGTCTGTCCTCATCTGAAGATACTGCAATAGTTGGTAGAAGCACAGTAGTCTTGTGAGATATGGGATTTATGCAAAGAAGGACAGGTAGACTTCCATAGAAGCTTTCTCCATGTCTTCCCATTTTCCTCTGAAGGGGAGTTCTTTCTTCAGTTTGGAGAGATAGAATGAGCTGTGACTGTTTGTCATTTTTTCTCTGCCCTTTTTGGTTCCTTGTTGGGAAGATTTCTTTTGTTCTGGGCTATTTATAGGGCCAGCAGTAGCAGCACTTGCCTAACTCAAACCTGTCTGGGGTAGTTCAGTAGTTGCTATTTTCAAAAACAACCATTACCCACAGTGCTGGCTAATACTGCCTTTTGCTGTTGCCTCTTCCTTTTCCAGCTTCCTTACCTCCTTATGCTTCGTGGTGAATATATATTGTCTTGTTTTGTTATATTTTGTACTTAGCTCAGCTTCTGGGCTGAAGTTATTAAAATGATGCCACATGTAGGCCTATGGGAGGGGATGGATTACCCTCCCCCAAATACTGCCAAAGATGCATCAAGAATAGAGGCAGAGATGAAAATGCTGATGCCATCAATTTTGCCCCATCTCCAGTTAATGGGACTCCTCCTGTATTCCATCTTAGTTGAGTTTCTAAAGAGTTTATCAGAAGCTTTTCAGGCTGGCAAATCCCTAGTTAAATTAGTGGGAATTTCACCAGCATCGTTAACTGTGGAAGGAGACAACAAGAGATTGTATAAAATATCAGTTTTCCTGAGCAGTATGAACCTTACTCTGTGGTGAGATGGGAGTACAGAGTTAATTTGTGCTGAGTTTTTTGATTCAGTTGGTTTCATAAATAGTTACTGTCATGTTATTTCTACAGTTGTAGTTCGTGATCTTCCTCAAGCTGATAGAATGTAGAGCGCTCCCTGGCAGTCTGAGGCTTGTTGCTGGTTCTCCTTCTGTGGTCCTGGCTGAGTGGTGGTGTGGTGGCCCAGGTTTGTCATGGCCACAGGAGAAGTTGTTTTGTAGCCTACTAGATAGGATGTTTGTAGCAGTGGGGACCTCTGGGGTGAGGTGCAGCTCAGACAGAGGGGGGCTGAGGATCAACCCTCTCATTCCCTGTGTGAGTGTTCAAAGCACAAGTTTCCTCCTCTGCTCCCAGTTCTTCCTCTGTCACCTTTTCTATCCCCAGTTTGGATCTTACTTGATCTGTGGCAGACACCAGGCACGTTGATATTTCTGTGTATGCAGGGAAACCCCCCTTTCACTTTCATCACTTTTTTGACTTGTGTGACTAAATTCTGCCTGACTTGTTCTAGATGCTGTTTCTCAATATTGCCCTAGGGCCTTAACTTTTTGAAATAAACAGTCTTGACTCATGCAGGGCTGTGACTCAGGCAATGGCATTCAGGATTTAATGTTCCCATTTAAGTTACTCTGCAGAAGAAGAAAAAAGAACAGGTCTGTTTCAGACTAAATGGTGCAGATGAGTTGCTGGATGGGCTTTGCTCACTTTACCTTTAACCTGCAGGTTATAGGCTCATATTGAAAAAAATGTATTCCAAGCTGCATTTCCTTCCTAGTTTTATGTGGGTTAGTGTTACCCATGCCAATTACTTTTCACTTTGGGCAGAAATTCGTTGAAGAAAAGAGACTTGAAACACAACTAGAAACTGCTACTCAGATCTGTGAAGATTTGAAAAACAAAAACATAAGCAATCCTGACTTAGGTAAGTTTGTGCACATGAACTGATATGAAGACCTCTCTTGGTGCTGTCACCAGTTTTAATTCCCACTTATATTTTGTGTAAAATACTGCTTCTATGTAATTAAACTCTCTGTTTCCAAATGTATAACGGTATTCCCTGTTTGATGTCCTAGCTGGAGATCCTCAAGAAATTAGCAAACTTTTTAAGACAGTGAAGTCAAAGATTTCTGTGTGCAGAGACTATATTTCCAATGTAAATACTACCCTACAGAAAGTCCTGTCTTCTTGGAGTAATTACACAGAAAACGTCCACTTACTAAAGACGTGGCTGGAAGAAAAACGAAATGAGCATCCAAAAGAGGTACATGGTTGGATTTCTCTTTGTAATGACAGACAGAGATACTTGGAAGCCTCCTGGAAGGAAAGCATTATACATGACTGTACTTGTTGTTGCTTTTCTGTTCCTCCTTTTGGGAATACACTTTTGACCGAGTTCTGCTTTAAATGATGTCAATGCCTCTGTCTAGATCCCTGCCGAGATCGTGGCGAAGTGGAATTCAGTTCATGGTTCCTTAAATGAAGCTGGAAACTATCTCATCGAAGTCAGCAAAGAGCAAGTTGGATCAAATATTGCCAAAGAGCTGAAGAAACTTAACAAGAGATGGGCTAAGTTCATCAAGAGGACACACTTTGTAAGTTACTGGTTTCATATGACTCTTTTGCCATACAGCCTTCGAAGTCGTATTTTCTAGACTTAACAGCTTGCTAACCAGAGGTTAATAAATCTTTCAGTCGACTCAGTGTTACCAGTTTTAAAGCAGGAGGAACAGAGAACGCACAGAGGCATCCCATTCTTAAAAATGCTCTTTGTGACAAGATAGAAAATGTTCAAATTTTACATGGAAATTTCAAAACCACTTATAAAAGGAGATCTTATTGCAGAACAAAGCTCTTTACTCGGTTCTAGAGGTGGAAGTAGTCCATTTGTTAAGAGCTTGTGAGCCTTTGCTAAATCGTATAATCTCTGCCTCAGCCAGTAGAAAGTAATTATTGCTGCATAGATATTTCTAGGGTTGTGCAACTTAATACCAGCTCACTTGACAGGTTTTTAGGCTGCTGTGAATTCCTATACAACCTGCTTAATGTTACATGTATTACATTTCCTAGAATACTTTCGCAAGGATGACATTTTCACTCTGCCTGGGAACATTAGAGCTCTTAATTTTCTAAGCAGAGCCTTTCATTGACATTTATTACAGGTACTGTTGTGACAATAAATGGTGGCAAAAAATGACAACATTTTTGTAGGAGATGAACTTAGTGAGAATGCAAGAAGATCAAAGGAAACATGTTGCACCTGGAATATTGTGTCCAGTTTTGGGCCCTTCGCTTTAAGAGAGATATTGAGCTCCTGGAGCGGGTCCAGAGAAGGGCGACTAAACTGGTCAAGGGGCTGGAAAATAAAACTTATGACAAGCAGCTGAGGGAGTTGGGGCTGTTTAGCCTGGAGAAGAGGAGGCTGAGGGGAGACCTGATTACAGCCTACAAATACTTGAGAAGGGATGGTGGGGAGGTGGGGGAAGGGCTCTTTACATTAGTGATGGGTGATAGGACAAGAGAAAATGGGTATAAGCTTAGTCAGGGGAGGTACAGGTTGGATGTTAGGAAGTATTTCTTCTCTGAAAGGGTTGTCAGCCACTGGAATAGGCTGCCCAGGGAGGTGGTTGAGTCCCCATCCCTGGATGTGTTTAAGAATAGGGTGGATGAGCTACTTAGGGATATGGTTTAATGGGGATTAGGGACGGTTGGACTCGATGATCTCTAAGGTCTTTTCCAACCTAGAAAATCTATGAAATCTATGAAATGCTCCCAAGGGTGAGGGAAATCCAGAGTTTCTGAGGAAAACCCTTAGTAAGAGATGCTTTTAGGAAATACATTCAGAAAGCAGAGATAAAGAGGCCTCTTGCACCCTTACAAGGGCTTAAGGACTTCGGGAGTTATTTTTCTGGCATTGCTTTGGACATTATGGCTATGATATATATTATATTTATTTTTATATATAAAAAGGCAAGGTCGAATGCTTGAGCTCTGGCCTGTGACTGCCAGTACCATTAAACTGATTGGGCCAATACCAGCTATTGTTTTCTTAGACAGTTCCCTGACATATCCTGGGAGATGCTGCAGCCCAGGAGTTATTCTCCACAGTAGTGTAGCTGTGGCTGCTTGCTT